CAGATGGCTTTACCTTTCTACAATGCTAGAACTTCTAAGTGTTTCTCAAGTGACTCAGGAGGACAGAAGTTTAAATGGTGCCTGTCTTTATCTAAAGTGCCAAGTTCTCCAGGCTGGCTCTCTGGTTCATGTTGACTGAGAAGTACCTTTCATTTCTTGATTGAAGCTAGTGCCCTTAACATACTTAATTGGCTCCTTCCCAAGTGTGAATGGTAACCTCTGGGGACTCTCTCTGTTTCAGAGGGCCCCCCCCACAGGAAACTTCGCAGTGAGCCACCAGGTACCTTGTGCCTCCAGCTTTATAGCTCGTGTGTCACACTGTCCCTTATATCTCTATGTCCAGCACCCCTTCCTTGTCCCCATCCCTCTGTGCCCAGCACCCTTCCTTGTCCCCATTCCTGTGCCCAGCACCCCTTCCCTGTGTCTTCCCCTTTCCAAGTCCTTGCAAATTTCTGTGAGATTCCCCAAACCTTAGTTTAGAGCTGGGGATGTAAGCAGACCTCATTTCTTGAGTCATTGTCCTTTCTCCTGGCATTTTGTCAAATATGGCTTCTAGCAAAACACTTTGATCACATCTCCATAAGATTTTAAAATACTGCATGTTGGGGGTTTTGTTGTTGTTGCTGCTGCTTTGGTTTGGTTTGTTGTTTTGAGACAGTGTCTCATGTAGCTCAGATTGCCTTTGAGCTACAAATCTTCCTGTTTCTGCCTCCCAAGTGCTACAATAACAGGTGTGTACTGCTATACTCTTTTAAGTGATGCTGAGGATGGAACCCAGGGCTCCATGCACGGTAAACAAGCACTTTACCAGTTGTGCTTTTGCTGGGATTGTTCTTACCTGCATGCTGAGCCACTCTTCCGCTGTCAGGACGCTCAGCCGTGTTGTACAGGTTGATACCTCACTGAGTACGTATGACGGCTTCCTCTTTCACACACCCCTAAAGAACGGGCATGGTTTCTAACTGACTAGCCTGGGTCACAAATCCAGAACAAAATAAACTCAGGGCCATAGTGATTATACAGCCAGAAACTTATCTACTCATGGTTAAGCTTGTCCTGTGGAAAGACATTAGCACTCCCTGCCACAGCACAGATGCCAGGGCTTCAGACATACTGAACTTAGGCTCGCTGCTTACTATCTTTTCAGTGCATGAGAGTGGAAATTGGACACTACCTGTAGGAACTTCTTCTGGAGGCCTCATGGGCTTGCGCATGTCCAAAGACAGGAGAATGAACTCAAAGCACATGGGGCTTTGTCAAGAGGGGCTTCTGCTTCCCTATGATTTTAAGCACCTTTACTCCCCCATATTGTATCCAGGCAAGGATGGCTCAGTGGAGTTCCTGGTGCCTCATGCTGAGCTCAAGGATAGCCTTGCTTATATTCACCTGTTCTTTGCAGAATTTCAACTTTGCTCTTGCTGTCAAATACTTACAACTAATTGAAGTCTCGCAGAGAGCATCCCCCAAGGATAAAAGGGAGAGCAGATGAGCCTCCAGTCAGCAGAAAACAAAGTCTGATCACCTGTGGAAATCTGGTTTCTCACAGTATATAATATAAACTCAGAGTGTTTGGAAAGATCCACAATTCTCCAGGATGGGAGACCCTGAAGGTTTTGAAACAAGCCTCTGTTAGGAGTCCCTATAACTGAGAGTTGGTATCAACCTTTTTTCTCAGATTTAGAACTGCTTCCTCCCATAGTGACCCCTGAGCTGGAACAATGCCCCTGTGGTCTCTTGATGAGTTTCTGAGATCAAGGGATAAACCCTTTGAGTCAACAAATATAGACTGTTCCAAGAGGCAAATAGTATCTAGAGCCTTGATGTAGACTTAGATACTGTTTCTAGCCCCAGAACACCAACCATTGGGTGCAGAAGCCAAAATATGGCCCTGAGGAGGGGGCACTGGCTGTCATCTCTCTACACCATAGTCCAGGCCCATTCACTCTCTCAAGGGAAGAAGCCCTTCTGAAATGGCCTTCTGAAAATGGCCCTGGTGTCTTAATTTTGGGAGTGGCTACAACTTAAAGTATTTATTCTGGATTGCTACATCTTGGGAAAACCCCAAAATATTTACATAGGGAGTTCCCCTACCTGCTGATCATAAATCTTTGGGTCTGCCTGTGCTTGTGCCTCGGGTGTATTACATGTCTGATGTGTTCCTTTGGGCTAAAGATTGGGTCAGTGGGTGGGCACACTCTCATGGCTTCTCCCTCCAGCCTCCTTATGACCAGCAAGTTGCTTTTCTTAATTGTACTAAACTGTGTTAGCACCTGTATTCAAATTCAGGACAAGAAGGGCTGTGCTGACCCAACAAGATCACGTGTTAGGTGACTGAAAACCCAAATAACCTTCAGTGAAATAGCAAAAGCTAGTTGCCAGTAAACTGACCTTTCCCCTCTCTGCCCACTTTCCTCTCACATCCAGTGCTGCACGCTACATATCTAGCCCTTCCTATAAAATCAGGTGGACTTGGACAGCCAGGATGTGACATGCAGGGCTGAAGACAGGAGTAGTGAAGATTCAGAGCTGCTTGCCCATAGAACAAAAAATTCACCTCAGATTAACAATTTTTCTACTATTCATTTGAGTATCCACTTTGTGTTCTGCATTATGTGACTATGGTGAGGAAAATACACACTCAAGTTAGACACCATCTCTCGACCATTTCAGAGCAAGAAGTTCCACACCAGCAGAGATGCTGTGTTACCCTTCAACTAAGGACTGACCTCTGAGAAACTCTCCCTCTCCATTTTGAAAACCTAAAATCATGGCTTTTTTTTATTCCCATGGACAGAAATTATAGATAAAACAGCACCAGGCCTGCATATGACCTTCCACCTGACTGACACCAGGCCTGTGTGCTATCCTACACCCGTATTGGCCTTTTTTTCTTCCCAACCCAAGGCAGACCAGAATCCTATTTTAATATTTTAAAACCAATAACCCCATGCCAAGTGAATAAATAGAACCACCCAGACTTTTAAGACTGGCTGGAACTCACCCTGAATTTGTTTGTGACTCATTCATGTTAAGTGTGTGTTTGGTCTCGCCCTTGATAAAAACCTCTTCCAATCGACTAGATTTCCTTACTAAAGACACATGTATCTTCTATTTCAAACCCATAGGAGAGGAAACGAGGCTTCGTTTGTTCCTTCCAGAAGGGCTGGGGGCCGTAGAGTTATTGAAAACACAGATGGTTCTGAAGAAGAAATGGATGCTCGGGACTCAGACTTCAATGGAACCAAAGCCAGTGAATAAATTCAGAATTGGACACCATGTCAGAGAAAACAAAACACTAACTGACAGCAGAGCCCAGCAGACTGCTTAGCATTTGTCTCCATTCGTTCTCCAGCCGCAGACATCACCCCACCTCTCACCAGGAATCAACCATAGCCCTGCAGAAAGGGTGTGAATCAAGTAAGAGAAGCAGGTCAGGAGCCAGTCACCAGCAACTTTGTTTACATGAAACGAGGAAGTTACATGAATGGTGCCACTGCCCCCAACCCACTCCCAACCATTCCCTGACCTGCCTAACCTTTCAGTTTGGGAGGAAAGCCCCTGTTTGAAGATTCCCTTTCCTTTCCTGCCTGCTACACCTCAGACACACACAGTTCACCAAGACCAAGTGACTTTTTTAGTCATCTGAATTAAACAAGAAACACTGCTCCCAGGGCCAAGCAGAGCGATCACACTGTCTTATTTGCACCCACGGACACGTTCACTAACTAATAAAAGGTTATAAATCACGAGAATGGAGTTGGCTCTTCTGTCCAGCTGCACAAATATTACAGCATCTCAAATACACAAAGTCCTAGGTACTTCTGGACCCAAGCCTTTCAAGGGCAATGCATTTAACCAATATTTTAAGTACAAAGTTTCTTTGATCTCTTTAAATTGCAATACAGTATTTTTGCCTAGCAGAGGGGCACAGGCATACAGTGTTTAGGACTGCTGCTTACTACCTACAGTAAAGGCTTGATGACCTGAGTGAACTCACATAAAGTTAGCTGTACTCTGACTACTATATGAGTACTGTGGCATATACTTTCTCACGCATAAATAATGGACTTGAATATTTCAGATTTGTAGATCACATCTGCCTCTATAACATATTCCTCTTCAGGCAAAATATGCAAAACTCTTAAAGACAAAACAAAACCAAAACCCCAAAACACTCCAACACTTAGGGCATAGTAGCCCACGTCTATAATCCGTGGGCTTGGAAGGCTGAGGCAGGGCTGACTATAACTCCAAGTCTACTTCCCCCTGCCCCCAATTAACCATTTAAGAAAGTGTTCTTAGCATGAAGACCCTACAGAAGCAGGCCAGGGCCCTTTAATTCTCCAACTACAGTGCTTAAGGGATACATGCTTTGCAAAAGTTCTTACCCACACAACTTTCCTAAAGCCCAACTCAACAAATTAAAAACAAAAGCCAATCATCCTGCCGAATGCTGATATAGCTGGAATGACATACAAACAATTCCCCCACAACACTGCTGAACAGCTGACTTCAACAGAAATTTTTATAATCAAGATTCAGTGTGCAAGGTGCTTGCTTGGCAAGCATGAGGCTCTCAGCTCAGATCAACAGAACCCACATAAAAGCTGGGCATGTTGGTACACTTCTGTAACCCTAGCCTGGAGGTCAGAGAAAAGGAGGATTCTTACAGCTTGTTATCCAGCCTAACCTATTGGGTGGACACGGGTTTAATAAGAGATCCTACCTTAAAACTAAGGTGGAAAACAGTAAGACACTAAACATCACCTCTGTGTACACATGTACACATATACTTATCTACATACACCACACATACAATTGATACACCAGATGTTCACCTCTGATTCCTATATACATGCACGCATGTGCCTTCAAATCCACACAAACAACTACACATACCACACACAAAACACTTTTATTTTATTATTTTATTACTTGGCTAAACAAAAAACAAACTTCAGGGCCACATGCACAGACATGGAAGGACAGACACACACATCTATTGAGCAGGCATTTCTTTTTATTTTATTTCTTATAAAAAATAAAGTCCATCTTTTCCCAGGTTATTATGTCTAAGGAGAACAAATAGCCAAGCAGCTTAACACCACCTTGTGAATGTCAGTAGCACACAGAAAGTTCTAGGCTGAATCTAGGCCAGTTTTGCCCTATCAACTAGAAAATAAGTTAGTAGCTAAGTGAAGGGTGCCAAGCCCTGGTATTAGTATGCTTTTCTTTTTGTGGACCAAAGCGTGAGGCAGCACCACACTCAAAGACGAGAGACGAGAGACGAGAGACGAGCTGGTACTGCAGAGCCTGTGCTGGGTTTTCCACATCCCCAGGGAGCATCTGAAAGTGCTGGGTTTCTTGCACCACCAGGGAGCATCTGGCAGTGATCTCCAGCTCACGAGTCAGTCACTCTGGTTGCTCTATGCTGTCTGGATGAAACCCTGCTGGCTGGATGTTCTTACGGATGGTGTAACAAAGTCCAGTGCAACGAAAGTTGTCCAGGGTCCTGATGCACATGTCACCCCAACATCAGGGCAGGGGACTCAGGAAAGGCAGGAGTCAGGGTTTATCTATAGAGGATAGACTCCCACTGACCTAAGAGGCAAACAGTGTTGAAATATCAAAGGTACATGGCCATAGTTTAATACAGCCTTTTGCCTCTGTAATCTCCCAGTCCTAGATACAATTTAATCATGCTGTAAAAGCACCAGGAGAATGTTCTAAAAGACAGCTTCAGCTGGAAGTAGGCTGTAGAGAGCACCTGAGCTGGACTTTCAGTCCTGCCCTGAAGATTATACAAAACACCTCTGGAGGCCATTAAAACTCTAGGTAGCCAATGACATCATACCTTAGAGCTGCCCGGTTGGGGGCAGAGCTCATTTCAATGCCATACACTGCTAGGTACTGGGGCACATTACAGGGATGATGCCAAGTCCACAGCCAACAGCCTTAGTCAGCGTAGGATACACAGCACAAAGTGAATGCTGGTCATGCTGGTTCTTATTTCTCAAACTACCTTGAAAATAAAATGACTAAAAGCCGACTATAAAGTAGGGAAGACAGGTGAGGGCGCAGTTCCCACTGGTCCTAAAGCAAAAGCTTGACCACACCCTGGGTGGATGGCAGCGTTGGTGATGCTGGCTGTGAGGCTGGCTTCCCAAACTCCAAGCGTTTTCCTGACCTTCAGACAGAGCAAACCATATTTAACAGATGAGACAGTAGTATCCCAGTGGCTAGCACAGGGCCCCCAAGGTTCTAAGAGTGAATGTCAAGAGCGGGAACAAGTCTCACAGGGTCTCAATTTTCTCTCCTGTGAAATGAAGAAAACAACACTGGCTATCTGGTTTCCTGATTCCCAAGGCTGCAGGAAAAACTCCCACTTTCAGAAGACCCTACGAAAGCATCTACTTCTTGGTCACTTCATTTGGGTTGGGGAGTGGTAAGAGGTGAGTGCAGGAACTTGCTACTAGGCAACATTCCCAGTTCCTTGAATTAAAAAAAAAAAAAATTACGCTGAAGAGATGGCTCAACAGGTAAAGATGCTTGTTGCTTAGCCTAACAACCCCAGAATCCACATAGCAGAAGGAAAGAACTGAATTTGCAAGTTGTCCTCTGACCTTCATATGTGCACTATAGAAAACACATTTGCACACCTGTGCACATGCACTCAATAAATATAATTGAAAAAAAATTATTTTAAATAAAAATTTTGACTAGGCATGGTAGTATGTATGCCTTTAATCCCAGAACACAAGGCATAAAGACAGGCAGTATACCCTGGGCTGTTCTAGTCCCCCTGTCAGCCAGGGCTACACAGTGAGGCCTGGTCTCAAAAATAAATAGGTACATCTAAAGATCTATTTAAAGGTCCAGAAGCTACGTGTGCACCATGAATCAATCCATTTCCCTTGTGTGTTTGCCTTGTCACACTGACACAGCCTGGGGCCCAGAGCAATGCAGGCTCCTTTCAGTGAACTAGATCTAGAGGCAGCTGCAGGCTTCTGTTTTTGAGAATCTGGTCTGGCTGGACTGATTCTTGAAGGGTGTACAGACTTAAAACTAAGGGCTTAGAGATAGCTCAGTTGGCAAAAAACCTTGCCTCACAGCATCAGGACCTGAGTTTGATCCCCAATATCCATGTAAAAAGCCAGACATGATGGCTCATGCTTCTGATCTCAGCACTGAAGGGAGGCAGAGGTACTTGGTGAGTTCCCCACCAGTGACACTCTGTCGGCACCTGAGAAGCACCACTTAGAGTTGACCTCACGACTCCACATATGCAAGTACCTAGTGTGCCTCAACTCACAAAACATTCTGGGAGAAGAGCAACTCCCAAACAAGAGATTTGGTCTCCTCACAGCGCAAATCACATCACATACACAGCTCTCTACTTGCCTGCCTGCCCAAATTTAGATATCATTTAATTTGGCCTCAAGTGAGGGGCTTATTCAAGGCCAGCCTGGGCTACCGAGGGAGCCTCTGTCTCATGAAAAGGAAATAGAGGCTAAGGTTTGCTGAAATAACCCTACAGCCTTAAAACAGAGTCTACGTCAGGTGGGGGCTAGTGTCTGATCTAGAGCAGTTTGGTATGTCCTGACAGAGAGTATCAAAGATACTGACCCTTTATCGCCCACACTGGTGCTGCCTGGCCTTTTGTCAACGCCATCTCTGTTTTTGGTTCCTCGTCCCAAGGCTGGCCCGACTGTCCGGCTTGGGGACTGATCATACATGAAGTTCCTGCATGATGCTAGTTTGGACTCCAGGGCCTGAAAAGAAATTGACTTTCATCAAGTTACAGACAAAAGGCTAGAGAAGTAGTCAGCGTGGAGGGCACTTGCCAAGTGTGCATGAAGTCCAGGATTGGATCTCCAGTAACACAGAAAGTAGGTATGGTATACCCGTGACACCAACACTTGGGAGGTAGAGACAGGAGGATCAGAAGTTAAAGTTATCTTCAGCTACATAGCAAATTTGAGACCAGCCTGGGCTATATGAGCCTGTTTCTATCATGCCCTCAAAGAAGGGAAAAATCCAGGAACACAAAAGTATGAGAGCCACTGCAATATGGTGGCACACACCTTTGATCTCAGCACTCAAGAGGGAGGGACAAGAAGAGCTGCTCTGAGAGTCCAAGGCCAGCCTGGTTAACACAGTGAGCTCTGTGAGCGCTAAGACAGCCAGGTTTACACAGAGAAACTGTCTCAAAACAAAACAAAAAACAAAAACCCCAAAACCAAAAAAACACAACAACAAACAAACAAACAACCACCGCCACCACCACCACCAACAACAACAAAACAAAAACAAACCCAAATAGAGCATGGGAGCCATGGCAGTGATAAGAACTAAACTGTGGTTCTGAAGATTCTAAGAGGTCCCCAGTGGAACCCAGTGCATCTACAAGTACTGAGGCTACCCATCTAAAATATCCAGAAAGAGCCCCAGAAAATTAACTCTACCTAGTGAAATATGAGCTAGTCATGGTGGTACAAACCTGTAATCCCAGCACTCAAAGGACCGAGGCAGGAGAATTACTGTACATTCCAGACCAGACTAGGCTACATAGCAAGACCCTGTGTCAAATAAACAAACAAACAACAACAAAAACACAAGAACTAACCTTAGCAAATACTAATGATAATAATAACTTCTAGAATTGTTCCCTTTGTTTATTTCATTAAAGCTGAAGAGAGATTCAAACAAGGACTTGAACTTGGAGTAAAAAAACCTAAATATCCACAGACCTACAGACGTGTGCATGCAAGCAGACCCTTTGTGTATATGTGTTTGTGTGTGTGTGTGTGTGTGTGTGTTTCTCTTTCTACCTCAGGACAGGCCGGGCTGATGGTAAATGGCCTTTTAGGAGTGGTTTCTAAAAATGAAAGTGCAAATACAAAGAATTCTGTTGTTGCATAGAATCCAGTGGACCCTTCCGGTAATTAACATAAAGCAGAAAGGCCAAGGGCTTTGCTCTCTATTCTTAAGATGTTCTACTAGAGAGAGACAGAGGAACAGACAGACAGACAGACACACACACATACACACACACACACACACACACACACACACACACAGAGGGGGGGTGAGGAGGAGAGGACTAACTTGTTTTTAAATGGCTCTGGGATTCTTTTTTTTTTTTTTTTTAATTCTAGGGTATGGTAGTCTACAACTCTCATCTCAGAATCTGGGAGACTGTGAGGCAGGAGGGCTGCTGCCTGAGTAAGGAAGGCCTGGGCTATAGGATGAGGCCCAATTCTGAGAGAAAGACAGAGACACAAACATCGTCACCACCCTATTATCCAAAATTACTTGGAGGAAAAATGAAAGATGCCTGAAAAGGAAAAGGGGTCTGGATTCTGAACACATGGCCTCTCCACAACAAAACTCCCATCTACTGAGCTACAGATGCTCAGAGGCACAGACGGCCTGGAGGCACAGACGGCCCGGCTACATTTAAAATTTAGGAGGTCTCTGTGAAAGCAAAGAGGGGCCATGTCTAGATAAACCTTCAGACAAAAACTCTGCAGTGGCCCAGACTTACCCCAACTTTCCGAAGCAGGTCCCCAACAATGTTTAGGGCTGATATCCGGGCAGCAGGTGTGAGTGGGGTCCCACTACTGGAGCTATCCAGACCTGAATGTGCAAGCAGCAGTATGAATCACAGGATCGTCCCATCTGTGTTCTAATGTCACTATGCTCTAACTGTGCGGGTGGGGATGAGAGCTGACATCTTCCCTTGGATCCTGATCACCATCTTATCTCATTAAGGAATTAATTGGACAACACGCCAAAAAACTACTAGCCTATTTTTTGAATCTTTGGTAAGATTATCTTAAACATCTATCTTTTTAAAACAGAGTAATCTTTTTTTAAACCAAGCCAAGGTACATCTAAGAATTCCATATACTTTGTAAACATTAACAATGATCAGGATAGATATATACATAGTGAAAAAAAAGTCATATTTTGGGGAGGGAGAGACAGGGTCCCTCTATGTCTGCTGGGCTTACACTGGAAGTCTTTTTGCTTGGTACTAGGATTGCAGTCTGCCATTACCAGCCAGCTAAGCAATCCACATGAAAAACAGCATTTCTTACAGCCAGTGATGACTCAGTGGGTAAAAGGTACTCACTGCCAAACCTGACTTGCACACATAAACCAAGACAACCACCCCCACAACACAGCTGGTAAAATTGTAGGCCTCACTAAGACCAGCTGAGCCTGAGCCACTAACTCATCGAAGTCTAAGGTGTGATGGCTTGAATAGGAATGGCTCCAATAGGCTCCTAGATTTGAATGTTTGTCACCAGAGTGGAACTGTTTGAAAGGATTAGAAGGATTAGGAGGTGTGGGTTTGTTAGATAGAGTAGGTGTAGCCTTGATGGAGGAAGCGTGTCACTGGGGTTGGCTTTGAGGTTTCAAAAGCAAAAGGACCAGTATCTGTCTCTACTTGAGGATCAGAATGTAGCTCTCAGCTACTTCTAGAGCACCATGCGTGCGGCCAGGTTCTTTGTCATGATGACAATGGACTAAACCTCTGAACCTCTAAGCAAGTCCCCAGTCAAGTGCTCTCTTTTATAAGAGTTGCTTGGTCACACTGTCATAAAACAGTAACTAAGACACCAGGTGAGTCATGTAAATTCCAAAACACAGGGTACTCCTCTGGATTGGGACCAGAAACCACAGCAGTCTTCATCACCAAGGTTCATAGTGTGAGCTGAGGCTTATGCCCTTGAACCAGCCTGTCTGGCTGAGAACCTCAACTCTGCCACTTATCTGCTAGGTGACTTCAGGGACATTGGTGAACACACCTGAAAGATGGGACTACCATCTGCAGGGTAGGCTTGTGAGGATAGCTCTGTGAGGTCCTAATATGAAGTGTTGCAAAGACTACCTAGCATACAATGAGCATTCAATAATTGTCTATTTGCCCTTGGTGGCCTGACTGAATAAGTCAAAAAGCTGGGAGACATAACTCAAATATCTCAGTTTTAACCATACTAATTACACCGGGCACATTTCCAGATAGACCTATTGCAAGACAGCCCCGCCCCCTCATAAATATTTACTTATGAGACTGGCTCTCACTAAGTAGACCATATTGTGATGGTTTGTATATGCTTAGCCCAGGAAGTGGCATTATTAGAAGGTGTAGCCTTGTTGGAGGAAGTGTGTTACTGTGGGTATGGGCTTTAAGAACTTCATCCTTGCTGCCTGGAAGCCAGTATTCTGTTAGCTACCTTTATATGAAGATGTAGAATTCTTAGCTCCTCCTGCACTATGGCTGCCTAGATGCTGCTATGTTCATACTTTGATGATAATAGACTGAACCTCTGAACCTGTAAGCCAGTCCAATTAAATGCTGTCCTTTGTAAGACTTGCCTTGGTCATGGTGGGTGTTCACTGCAGTAAACCCCTAACCAGGACACAGTTCAAGAGGAGTCTAGCTTTGAACTCTTAATTACAGCCTCAGCCTCCAGAACACTGGAATTACAGATATGTGCCACCATGCCCAATCCATGATGTTTTTGACTTTTGGGTGTAACATTTAGACCTTCAGATTTCTGGCCTCTAGGAGTGTCTGTTAGGATGGACCTATGTCCTCTGTAGCAGAGGTTGCTGCCCTTCTAGACAGTTTGTTCTTTATCACAGGATCTGCTATGCCCTGCCTCACTTAAGACTCTCCTATTTCTATCAACAGCCTGCCCTACTGAGCATTCCCACACTACTCCCTAACTGAGCCAGACCATCTCACCCAGGACCCACACGAGGTTCTTATCAGGGCAAACTATTTTCTCTCCTCCCTCCCTCCCTCCCTCCCTCCCTTCCTTCCTTAGCATGGTCTTTCTAGCCCTGGATGTCCTGGAATTCACTATATAGACCAGGTTGGCCTTAAATTCACAGAGCTCTACCTACTTCTGCCTCTTGAGTGCTCATAACTGTACCACCATACCTGGCCTAAGGGCAAACTCTTTAAATCAAAGAAAAACTTCCCTCTGCCCTATCTCCTCACCATGTGTGAACATTCCTGGTGTGTTTAAATCCCTCTGCCCCATCTCCTCACCATGTCTGAACATTCCTGGTGTGTTCACACCAGAGCTAGGTCCTCGGTGAGCTATTGGAGTAGACGGTACAGAGCCTGTGGCCTGCACAGCCATGTCTGTCCTTCTGGCTTCACCTGAGCCTGGCATGGGTGTCCGAGGCTTGTCTTGCTTCTGCTGCACAGCCAATTCCTGCCGCAGGTCTATACAGGGAAAGGGTTCAGAATGTGAGTCCTTGCTCTGGGTGAGGATGCAGCCAAAACACGAGTGTACAACCTAGAAATCAACCTGGAAACCCTGAATGGAGGGGCACCCATGTTCTCTCCTTAACAGTTATGCAAACAACACACTCTTCTTCTGCATCAAATACAAAAGGTGTTAAAAACTAAAGCTTTAACATAACATTTGTTAACATAATTGTTAAAAAAGATTGTGACACTGTGGTATGGACAGAACCCTAAGTGAAAACTTGTTTCCCTCAGTTCTCTTCTGTCTGGAACACATTACCAAGTTTTGCCTTTTTTTTTTTTTTTTTCTGTGTCTGTTGTTGTTTTCTTTTGTGAAGCTCAAGGACGATTTTATTAGAGTTAAAAAGAAATACCCTGAGAAGGCAGGCTACCTGATAGAGTTAAGAGAAAAGGCCACAGCTTTTGAGTTAGGCCAGTGCACTCAGCAGTGGCAAGGGAATGGTGGAGAGCTTCGGAGAAAGGGTATAGACGCCAGCGTGCTGGGCTCTGCCAGGATGGAAAGCGATGGAAGAAACAAGGATCAGCAGGTCAGAAAACTGGGCAGACCTCTGCAGGGCTGCAAGCCTCGCTCAGTTAAAACTGGGCAGACCTCTGCAGAGCTGCAAGCCTCGCTCAGTTAAAACTGAGCAGACCTCTGCAGAGCTGCAAGCTTCGCTCAGCAACTGACTGCCTTTTTGCTATGTATCCAGGGTGAAGTCAAACACTAGATCATCTCCCGAGCACTGGTGTCCCAAGTGTATATATACCCACCTGACCTTTCCAGACCTTCTCCTCACAGCTCACATCTGTCGGAAACTCCTACTGAGTATTGTACAAATGATTTTAGAATCATTAGCAGGTAGGCAGGCCTGTCTGTAACTAATTCTCCCCACTTCCATGAAGGGTCTGCCTATCTTTCCCATGACAACATATCTACCAATGTCCACTCATTATAATAACTGTTTAACACTCCATAAAATAAATTCCTGTGAATTGCTGGTATCTTCATTACTAACGGGTATAGGCTGAAGAAGCCAGTAGCTCTTATCTGAAATGTTTTGGACCGTAAGTGCCAAGTTCTTTAAATAATATTTGCATAGACTTTATCAATCATTTGAGAATTTCTTCCATCCAAGGTTTTGTTGTTGTTGTTTGTTTGTTTGTTTGTTTAAAGACGTGGTCTTTGTAGCCCAGGCTGGCCTTGAACTTGCTATGAGGACAAGGATGACCTTGAACTGATCCTCTTCCAGAATGCAGGGCTTAAAGGTATGCACCACCACAGCCAGGCCACTGAGCATTCCTAATGGAATTCAACATGTTCTGAAATCTAAACCCTATCTACTGACTATACCATTTGATATCAAATTCTTATTTAAAAAGAATTAAGGGACAGGCATAGTGACATACACTTTTTTTTTTTTTTTTAAATGTAAGTACACTGTAGCTGTCTTCAGACACCCCACAAGAGGGCATCAGATATCATTGCAGATGGTTGTGAGCCACCATGTGCTTGCTAGGATTTGAACTCATGAACTCTGGAAGAGCAGTCAGTGATGTTAACCACTGAGCCATCTCACCAGCCCCAACATACACTTTTAATTCCAGTACTCACGAGGTAGAGACAGGCAGATCTCTGTGAGTTCAAGGCCAGCCTAGTCTACAAAACAAGTTCCAGGACAGCCAGGGCAGTTACAAAGAGAAACCCTGTCTTGAAGAAACAAACAAGAAAATAGGACTTGAATCAAATTCTCTTAAGAATGCAGCTAGGGGGCAGTGGTAGCACACACCTTTAATCCCAGCTTGGGAGACAGAGCCAGGCGGATTCTGAGTTCGAGGCCAGCCTGGTCTACAGAGTGAGTTCCAGGACACCTAGGGCTTCACAGAGAAACCCTGTTTCGAAGGAAAAAAAAAAAAAAAAAAATGCAGCTGGGATGGTTTACCAATGAAGGTTCCATTAGTCTAAAAACTCCATGCCTGGCACAACAGCCAAAGATTGGCCAGCAATACAATAGCATTTTTCTCCCCAAGAAACTCTTGTACTTCGGCCAGGCAGGACTCAAGCCTGTCTGGCATGTGTGAAAATTGTTCCCCGAGGAAACAACTTTGAACTAAGCAGGTAAAGCACATGAACAAAGACAGAACTTGTGAATCCCAAGGCTTTTCCTGCAGACACACATGACACTGAAAATCACTGAAAACTGCTAACAACCCAGAACACCCACCCCGGCTACTGTCTACACAGAGCTGCCCCTCAGCCTCTCTGAGGCTGGCCCATGTACGGAATGGCTGCAGATTCCCTGGAAAGGCAGTGCTCGGCAAGGCCAAGAGCAGATGCTGTCTTAGATGGAGAAACACCAGAGAAAACAGGGAAAGCCTCTGACCTCGGGCTTCATCCTTCAGCCTTTGCACAGATTCTAGAAGATTCTCCTTCTCATCCAGCTCGCTCTCTAGGAAGGCATTTCTTTCGATGGCTTGATTCAAACGCTGCTCAAAGTCTTCCAGGGACATGATCGTGGCTCTGAGTAGAAGAAGTTCACAGTTATCCAAAATAGCAATGGCAGCATCTGTCAGCGCCTGAAGCTCTGGAAGATGTGACAGCAGAGGTGCCTGTGTGGTCCTAAGGACCACAGGGCCTCCTGGACCTCAGGCTCCTCACCTACAAAATGGAGTCATCAGGGCCAAGAAGATGCACCAGGCTGTCCTGAGGGCTAAGTCTGATAGTTCCCACAAGGCAGTAAAGCCTAAGACGACCTAAAGCCTTGCCCGTCAGGACCACATGCTCCACCCAGCCACTGTTACCATCTTATAAGAAAATACCAGTTGGTGATGGGGTGTGGTGGGGGTGGGGCACAGCAGACACAAAAGAAGCTGACTGGGAAGACCAGGGGTAAAGAATCACTACAGGTATGATGCTCACAGCACTCTAGGGTCTCAGAAATAAACAATAGGCCAGGTGTGATGATACATCTTTGCAATCCCAGCACCTGGGAGAGTAAGACATGAGGACTCTGATCAGTAAATGAACTAATAATAGCAAGACACACCCCCAGGAACCTGGATAAGTAAGTCATGGTATCAGCCAATATTAACTATTCAGTAGACAATTACGTATGTGTTTGGAAAAAAAGAACAAGAGTGTTCTGTATCCTTCAACAGATAGTATCTCCAGAATCCATTGTTAAGTGGAAAAGCAAGATGTACAACTCTGAGTACAAAGTGCTCCATTGTGGGGGACCAGAGGAGGAGGAATAACAACGCCTTTTGTTTTATTCTATCAGTATAGATTAATTATACATAAAGGTTTCTTTATGGCGTTTTCATACATGAGCATCATAAATATTCGTTACCCTTTTTTGTCCCCTATACTCACCCATTACCCCCTTTAGTTTTCATGTCTTTAGTGTGTGTGACCCAATGAGCGAGTGAGGGTGGCTCCCAGGGGTATGGCCATCTTAGAATGCTGCACCACTAAAGAAAGATCTCTGCTCCTAGCTGCAACCATTAACTATCCATAAATCCTCAGGGAGAATTTCCTTACGAGACCCTCCCACTTTCATGACAGTGCTAAACAGTATCTGTTTTCTAGTTGTTTAAATGTCCATTAAAAACAAACAAACAAACAAAAAAAACAACAAACAAACAAACAAACAAACAGGGCTGGAAAGAGAGCTCAGCAGTTAAGAGCGTTGTCTGCTATTCCAGAGGTTTTGAGTTCAATTCCCAGCAGCCACATGGTGGCTCACAACCTGCGATCTGATGCCCTCTTCTGGCATCAGGTGTTCATAGAGAGCGCTCATAAGTAAATAAATAAATATCTTAAAGCCAAACCAAACAAACAAACTCCCCTGGGGCTCGGCAGTTAAGAGTACATGCTGAACTGTTCTTTCAGAAGACCCACATTCAGTCCCCAGCACCCACATCAGGTGCCTGCAACTCCAGCTCCAGGGGATCCACACCTCTGGCCTCCGCTGTCGCCTACACTCACATATAAATCTCTATACATACAATTAAAATCATTTAGAAAGGATCTGGAGAGAGAGTTCGGTGTTTAAAAGCACTGACTGCTCCTCTTGAGGTTCAATTCCCAGCACCCATATGGCAATTTACAGTTGTCTCTAACTCCAGGTCTAGATCAGCGTCCTCTCTGTCCTTATTAGGCACTGAAATACTATGCACATAAAAATTTAAAACCTTTAAAAAAACTCAAACAAACACCCCTTGAGCTGGTGAGAATAATTCATTGGTTAAGTGTGCTTGCTGCATGGGAGAGGACGTGCCTAGTCCTGCAGTGACTTGATGTGCCAGGGTGGGTGATACCCACGGTAGCCTCCCACTTCTCAGAGGAGATGGGGATGGGGGTAGGGAGAGGAGCTGTGTGAGGGGGAGACTGGGAGGAGGGAGCCTGATATTGGGGTGTAAAGTGAATAAATAAATTAATGAAAAACCACACCTAGGAGCACAGTCCACCAAACTGCAGAAAAAAAGAGTGCTTGCTGGTTTTACAAAGAACTGAGTTGGTTCACATAAAGCAGCTCACAATCTCTCTGTGGCCCCCAGCTCCAGGGGATCTGAAGCCTCTTCTGGCTTTTGTAGGTATCTACACACAGGTACATTTATACATACACATAATTTAAAATAATAAGAATAAATCTTGGGGGGGAAACCCTCTAACCCTTCCTATCATAGTTTTGAACTGTGTGGATGTACTAACTTCTTGTGGAGAATTGCATTATTGATCCTGACTCTTCATCTGTCCCTGCACCTACATCCTCGCTGGAGACTCACTGTGGGTAGAATACACTTTCACCCTCTGACTCAGTGTGACCATGTGACCTGCTTTTTATAAAAGATGTGTGGAAATGACACTGGCTCGATTCAGAATGTGGCTTCACATACTGTCTTAGTTACTATCACTAGGATGAAAGCCATGACCAAAAGCAGTCTGGGGAGGAAAGGGTTTACTTGGCTTACACTTTCCCATCACAGTCCTCACTGAAGGAAGCTGGGACAAGAACTCAAGCAGGGCAGGAACCTGGAGGTAGGAGCTGATGCGGAGACTATGAAGGAGTATTGCTTACTGGCTTGCTCAGCCTGCTTTCTTATAGACCCCATGACTGCCAGCTGAGGGATGGTACAACCCACAGAGGGCTGGGCTCTCCCCCATCAATCACTAATTTAAAAAGTGCCCTACAGGCCTGATCTTATGGAAGTGTTTTCTCTCCTCTCAGATGACTCTAGCTTGAGTCAAGCTGACATAAAACTAGCCAGGACATATACTACCAACTGTAGACTGGACCAAATATAAATCCAGTAGTAGATGCTGGGATAAGTGAAAAATTAATGTGCAGTGGAACTGAGTTCAGTACCTTATGGGAAACAATGAAAGAGAGAGTAACAGTGCATCCACGTGAAGAAAACCAAACTGGAGCAGAGTCATACTCTAATCATAAGGACAAACAGTAAACATGACCGTGAAGGCTGTCACCTACAGGCACGGCAGAGACTGGCTAGAACTTGGAGCAGACAGCAGTGCTGCTGACTCTGCATCTTCTGAGAATTTTACTTTAAAAATCCGTAGTGACAGAAAACCAGCACCACCAAGGGGCCTCAAAACCTGCACAGCTCTTGTCCACATTTCTGGTTGACCTCTGAACCTGAGCACACAGGGAAAGTCTAAAAATGAACAAAGGCATTTCAGATACTGCCCACCACAGCGAAAACTCTAAAAGTGATCAAAGGCATTTCAGCTACTGCTCACCACAGACAGAAGACGGTGTGGAGTTCAAGTTCAGCTACATGATCTGCATGGACAAGGAGACACAGGCAAATAGCTAACAGGGCCTCCAGGCTCAGGACACACGGACTACAATGTTCACAACCCAATCCAAACTGACTGGACTTAAGAGACAATGAAAACATGACAGAATTCAGGAGAAAAGACAATCACTGGACCAACACTGAGATGACCGTGCTAGAAATAGGTCAAAGGTTAAAAACAGCCGCTGTGATCAGGATCTGAGACAAGAAGAAAGCTCAGTATAGGAATAGAGATTAAAAAAGAAGAACCACAACAAAATGGAAATTCTAGTTCTGAAGCATGCAACTACAAAACTCTGCCTTAATTGCATACGGCCTCAAAGAAGAGCTAGAGAACAGTCAGAAGTCTAGGGGAGGAAGGTTCCGTTTATGCTGCTACTGGGAAGTCCTCATCCCTACTGGGTGTGCTTTCCAGGTGTGGCCTTTTGGAGGAGAAGCACCAACACCCTGTGAGTGACCCCTCACCTATTCTCTGTAAGGAAGCCCAGTGAATTCATTGTTTCCCCAAGGTGAACTTAGAAGAATCATGCCTCCCAGCACTTGGGAGGCAGAGGAAGGCGGATTTCTGAGTTCGAGAGTTTGAGGCTAGCCTGGTCTACAGAGTTCCAGGACAGCCAGGGCTACACAGAGAAACCCTGTCTCGAAAAACCAAAAAAAAAGAAGAATCATGCCTCAGTTTTTGTGTGGACCTTAGGAGAGGCAGCTGTTGTTTAGTCTTCCTCCTGTGAAGGAATTTCAGCAATATCCAAGCTTAACAGCAGATTTTTAAATTAAAACAATAGAAACAACAAGATTAAAGTAGAAACAAGCGAAGGGTGGGAGATGGCTCAGTGTATAAAGTGCTTGCTGTGCAAACGTGAGACCTGGGTTTGGATCCCCAGCACCTGCATAAAGGCTGGGTATGATGGCAAATGTATGAAACTTCCCTGTGTGCAAGTTGGAGAAAAGAGAAACCTAGGAGCTGTCTGGCAGCCAGTCTAGCCAGAACAGCAAGTTCCAGGTTCAGTGAAAGATCCTGCTTCAAAAACTACGATAAAGAACAACAGAGGAAGATGCCCAAAGTCGATCTCTACCGCCCACATGTACTGCACAACCATGGCAACTGAACTAATGCACAGCCCACAGAGAGAGAGAGAGAGAGAGAGAGAGAGAGAGAGAGAGAGAGAGAGAGAGAGAGAGAGAGAGAGAGAAATGGGAGGAAGAGACCCCAGAGACCCATCTGACAGGATTCATGTCTGGATAGAATCCAGATCATGCCTCAAAAGGAAAGAGGAACCAGGGGGATCTTTGTAAATCTGAGGAGAGCCTGGTCTCCATATGGAGTCTAGGCCAGCCAGAGATACTTAGTGAGATCCTGTCTCAAAAGCAAGTAAGCAAGCAAGCAAGCAAACAAACAAATGGAAAAGTATCTGGAGAAAGAGTGACCAAAATACAATTTGATGAAAGACAAATGTTAGCCCCAGCCTGCCTTCAGCACCTCAGCACCAGCAGCTAAGTCACCAGCCACTAAATGGGACACATACCCTTTAAAGGGTCCCTGCTACCCACTCTCTTGCTCTGTCTCTGTCTCTCTTTTATGTCCCAACTCTGAGACCCACCTCTGCCTCAAATAAATCTCTTGCATGAGATTTGTTGTGCGATATAATCTCTTTGGCATAACACGGCCCCAACCTGCCAAGGAGCACAGTCCACCAAACCACAGAAAACCCAAGCTGAGGAGAACCCAAGAGCAAGGATAGAAAACAGCTCTTCAGACATACAGAGAAGCAACAACTACAGAAGACTGCAACATCACCTCCAAAGTCCAAGCCTGTGAGGCTAGAATTCTCCATCTAATGAAAATACCCTCCAAGCCAGCATGGCAGTGCACACCTGGAACCTCAGCACTGGGGTGGGGGTGGGTGGAGTGAGGAGGAGAGTGGGGGGCGGGTGTCAATTAGGAGCCTTGTTATGAATCTGAGGCCATTCTGGTGTACACAGAGTTCCAACCCACCAGAAAATGTTTCCAAAAAAAAAAAAAAAAAAGCAAAGGAGAAAAGAGAAGAGCAGATCCTTGAAGACAAGTCAGGAAGCAACATAGCTGTGAGCTGGAGGGTATACAGCAAGACCCTATCTCAATCTACAGAGTGGAGGGCCAACAGGGCCTCACAAGGGTAAATATCTGAATTCTAATCTCCAAAACCCATGTAAAAGCAAGACATATTAAAATGAGAGTGTCTGTAGTCTCAGCATGCCTACAGAGAGATGGTAGGTGGAGACAGAAGACAGGACAATCTGAAAGCTCACAGACCATCTCACACGAGTCCAACACCAGAAATGGTAAACATATTCTATCTGGCTCATGAGCCATTAGGGGTTTTGCCTTGCTCAGCACTGAGTTCTTCATACTCAGGTCTGTGGTTGTCACCTCAAAACTTTCCTTGCCCCACCTACCGTTTGGCTCTTTCCAGGTCATCATTGGCTTGTTCCAGTTCCCGGATGTATTTCTGCAGTTGGTCTTTAATGGCTTTTGTCTGAGCCAGGTCATCCTCTAAGGCTGAGATCTGCCGGTAACCCTCTGAATGCTGCATTTCAAACTTCTCCTGCAGGACAGAACAGAAGCCTGGTCAGTGACTGAAGACTGTGACAATCTATGTTTGCATCCCTTCCTTATCATCACCCCACCATCACTATCATCAAGTATGGGATGTCACTCATGGATACTTCTATCTACCTGTACAAGACATTTGGTGGCTTTGGCCACTGAATATAAGCTCTTTCCCTCCTTCCTTCCACCCCAGCAACAGTACGTCATCTTCTTTCCTTGAGATAGTATTTCATGTGTGCCAGACCTGCCTCAAACAAACTATGTACCCAAGAAGCAGAGGATACTCTCGAACTGCCTGTCCTGTCTCCACCTTCCAGGTATAGTCATGAGTTACCATGGCCAGTTTATGCAGTGTTGGGGCTTTTGTGCCAGCATTCTCAGTCCCCATCTGAGGCACAGCCTCAACATAACCCCAACATCATAAGGAATGTCTCTCTCTTCATTTTAGGGTCTCTGAGGTATTTCTTCATATGACCCCTATGAGGCAGCTTCAGGCCTCCTCTCCTAGCCTCCCCTGAGCTCAATCAACAGACCCTTCTCTCCACAGACCTGAAATTTCAGATGAGAAGCAGTTGTTGTCCTAGTTAGGATTATTATTACTGTGATGAAACACCATGACCAAAGCAACGTGGGGAGGACAGGGTTTATTAGGCTTATATTTCTATATCACTGCTCATCAAAGGGAAGTCAGGATAGGAAATCAAACAGTGCAGGAACTTGGAGGCAAGAGCTGATACAGAGGCCATGGAGGGATGCTGCTTACAGGCTTGCTCCCCATGGCTTGTTTAGCCTTCCTTCTTATACAACTCAAGACCACCAGCCCAGGGATGGCCGTGTGCACAACAGGCTAGGCCCTCCCCCATAACCACTAATTAAAAAAATGCCCTATAGTGGAGACATTTTCTCAACTGAAGTTTCCTCCTTTCAGATGACTCCAGCTTGACAGAAAACTAGCCAGGACAACAGAAGATGCTGTGAAAGATAAGTGACAGTCATTCAAAGAATGCACGCCCCAACTCTCCCAGCCACGTGCCTGCCGATCCCCTCACCGCCTGCTACCTGCCATCCTGTCTACTCTCACCTGGTCCTTGCAGAGCCCACTGACCTTCAGATGAATCATTCAAGGTGTCCACAGCCACATGCACTCACTCAGGCCCCAGTACAATGCAATAGGCACTGCTTTGTGCTTGAGTACTGTACTTGAGGATAACAGCAGGGGTGACTTGAGTTGCTTGTACCTCAGAAGGAGACATCAGATATTTAACGACAACCATTCTAACTTTTTGATCTAAGACACTCCACAACAATGTAAGAGAAGCTCAGTTTGATTGGCCAGTGCTTTCTAAGAGCAAGGAACAGTTCTGATGACACCTCACTGGTTAGCTGCTGCCCATCTGGAGCAGTTAACACTTATGAACCTACTGTATGTTAATTAATTTCAGCCCACACCAGATATATGGAAATTAAGACTCAGTTACTTGCCTGGCCCAAAGTTGATCTGCAACAAATAACCCACCCAAGATCAGGGCCACCAGAGCATCCACTCTTAAAGCAAAGACACTAAGCAATTTCCATGCAGGTTGTCTTAGTTAGGGTTTCTATTGTTATGAAAAGACACCACGACCACGGCAACTCTTATAAAAGAAAACACTTCACTGGGGCTGGCTTACAGGCTCAAAGGTTTCACCCATTATCATCACAGCGAGAAGCATGGCGAGACGCACGGCAAGAAGCATGGTGACAGGCAGGCAGGCAGGCAGACAGACAGGCAGACAGGCAGAAGACATGGTGCAAGAGAAGATGAGAGTTCTACATGTGGATCCATAGGCAGCAGGAGACTAACACACTAGGCCTAGCTTGAGCATATGAGACTTCAAAGCCTGCCTCCACAGTGACACACTTCCTCCAACAAGCCCACACCTCCTAATAGGGCCAAGCATTCAAACACAAGAGACTATGGGGCCATTCCTATATAAACCACCACACAGGCCATCAAGGAAGTTAACAAAAGAAAAGAAAAAGAGAAAAGCTAGCTCCTCTTCTTGCCTAGATTCAAGAAGCAAAGCTATTGTGAGACAGTCAGATTTACCAGGAGGTAATAAATGGTGATGCCCAGACCAGAGTTGGGGACAAGCACTCCTGTGAAAGAAGAATGACCACAGTGGCCATTAAGTGATTTATAGGTCGACAACATCAATCAATCGTCAACATCCTAAGGCTTCTGGGGTTTCCTGGCAAGAAGACAAAAGCAAATGTCTGAACATAAGCAAAAAGAAACTAGATCTTAGATCATTAAGATGTGGAGACCCAGACCCTGTGCCTGCACAGATTTAGAGAGAGTGTTTGGGACATGAAAATTGCTGTCCCACTGAGCTTTCACTGTTTCTGATGGAGGCTCAGTATGTGCTGTCTGATGGCTCACAGGCTGCTGAATTCAAGGCTTGATGAACAGCTGATACACCTGCCATAGGTGACTAATAGGCAATTACAAGTGGCAGGCTCTTTCTCCAGTATTTCTTCCCTTAGTCTCTGTGTGGGGCCTCATGCCACTGGCCAGAGGTTGTAATGAAGAAGTCAAAATTCAATCCTGAAGCATAAAATTACTCAATAACTGAAGGGTATGTATGCAGCCCTTACCTATAAAAGGCATCTTAACACCCCCAGCCACTACTCCTGTCACAAACTTGCCTCTCCACAGCCTTTGGCTGAGAACTGGAACAATTCCTCATTGCCTGTTTCAGAGGCCAAATGAAATACTTCCAGGGTCGATGAGAAATTTGGACCTGACATAGGACAAGAGCAAGAGATAGTATTTGGTGTGACCAGGACAGACTGGGCCCAGTTATCCATTGGCATGAACTAATGCATGCCTTATGAAGCCAGGCATCTCTCTGAAAAGAAGTTAGAAACCCTGATTTTTCTGGGAAGTTTCATATATCTTAGCGTCTGAGATTAAATATATATTTTTAAAACCTTGAAACTGCAGAGAAATCCTGTCTCAAAACAAACAAACAACCATGAAACTGAGCTGTCAAGGCAGCAACTGCAGCCAAGCCCCATGACCTAAGATAGATCCCTGGGACCCATGTGATGGAAGGAGAGATTCCACTCCTGAGGGTGCAGAGGTCAGAGAACAACTGGCCAGCACCAATTCTCTCCTAGCACCTTGCCAGTCTCAGGAGTCAAACTCAGGTCGCCAGGCTTGATGGCAGGCACCTTTACCAGCTGAGCCAGGTGAGCCTTCTTGACAGCCTAGAAGTATTTTTGACCATCACAACCATAGCATTTGGGAGTGCTATTTGTTTCTGGCAGATGAAGGCCAGAAATACTACTCATTGTCTTACAACACAAAGCTCAGGGCCTCACTCACAACAGTGTCCAGGCTCAAGAGGCAACACAGTGCTTCGTTTTGACCTGAGAGGACACATTCTAAGACATTCTGCTACATCCCCCAAAACTTCAGACACCACCAAACCCTATACATGTTTTGTTTTTCCCATGTTTGCTGTGTTATAATGCTTTAGTTTACAAACTAATAAATTAACAATAATTACAAGATAGGTTGATTATAATATTATACCATAATAAAAGTTATTTAAAATGTATAAGTTATCTCTAGAATTTTCCATTTAATATTTTTTGGATTTTGTTTGATTACTGGTAACCCAAATCATGGAAAATAAAGCCAAGAACGGGTCCAGGTAGAACTACTGCAGAGCCCAGTTAATAAACCTGCTTATGATTGGTATGGTCCAACAGAGTGTTCTAAAAGATGATATTCTGTAGTCCCTGTGTCCAGAAGTGAAACCCATGAGTTATATGTGGTTACAGAGCACCTGAATTGTGGTAATGTTAGTAGAATTAATTTTTTTCCTCATTAGCTTTCATTTCAATAGCCATATGTAGCTAAGAGATACCATACTGTGCTTGTAATATACAAGCAGGAGACATTCTAAAGCCAGTCATGATGGTGATTACCCTTAATCCTAGCACTCAGGAGGTGAATGCAAGGAGTTCAAGGCCACCTTCAGCTACACAGTAAATTCCGGGCTGGTCACAGTGAGCCTGGGCTACCTGACTCAGTCTCAAGAAGCTACAATTCTGACACTGAGCCTTTGAAGAACTCTTTTTGCCATGTCCCTTGGGAAATCAGTACAGTGACTGCAACCCTGCTTACCACAAGCCATCCCTACCTGTGCACATGTCCCCTGGGCTTCCTCACCTTCACAGACTCCAGCTCCATTCGAAGGCGGTTATTCTCTGACAATAGGTCCCGGTTCCTGGTCTCAATTTGCTGCAGCTGAGTCTCCAATTCAGCTTCGTATTCCCGGCTTCCTTCCTGGAATTCTCGAAGTTCCTCCTGTGTATTCTCTGCCCTGTAGCAGTATTAAAAATAAATTTATCACAGAATTAATGATGCTGGTATTGTGTCACAAAGTAGGGTGTGTGGATCATGCCTTTATTCAGCCACCATTATTCCCATCTTATGGAAAAGACAACAGTTTGTGAGAGCCAGCATTGAAGTACACACCTGTAATCTTAGCATTCAGGAGTCTGAGGCAGGAGGCTCAAGAATTCAAGACCAGCCTACACTACACAGTGCTGAATCAAAATCTCTCTCTCTCTCAGCACTTTTAGATCTGTGTACTGCAACACCTGTCTCAAATTTAAAATCTTCCAAAAAGCTATCTTTTTTCAATGTTATTTTATGTGCACAAGTGTTTTGCCTGCATGCATGTATGTGGACCAATTGCAAGCCCACGGAGATCAGAAGAAGGCATCGGGTCTTCTGGAACTAGCGTTAAGGATGGCTGTGAGTCACTATGTGGCTGCTGGGAACTGACTCCGGATCCTCTACAAAAACAAGTGCTCTTAACCTTGAGCCACCTCTCCAACAACAGCATATTTTGATAGGCACAGGTAAATCTTCTTCTCTATAGCAGACCTGATATAGATAAGGACCTATCCAGAACATACAATGAGATGTTAGAATGGTTAAGTGACTCAGTTTGTAGTTCAAATCCCAACTCTACTTCTGACAGCTACTGCCTTAGGCCGGCTGTCTGAGTTCCCAATTGCTCAGGGGCCTTTGTAGAGAAAGGTGACCCTAGTTTCTTCATCTAATGACAAGGCTGAATGCATGGTACCCAGCACACTCTCAGAGAGTGCAGGGATGGAAGCTGCAGGACTGACCTCTGCTTGTAGGTCATGGCCAGGTCTCTCCAATAGTTTGTTTCTTCCTCCTCTGATCCAAAAGTCTTTCCTGAGTCCTCCATGATGAAAAGGGCACGAGCTCACTCTTCCTGCGGCATAATGTCTAGGAGCAAAGTTTGAAAACCAGAAAAGTTTGAAAATTACTGTGACTTTCCTGGGTAACAGCTGGTCTTTAATTAAAAACGAACAAAGCAAAACATAACAAAAAACAACCCTAAAAGCCTGAACTTCATGCTAGATCAAACAAACAAACAAACAAACAAACCAAAAAATGCTGCCCCTAAAACCAAAACCAAATACAAATAAAAAGTAGCCTATCTTCAGATGCAGCCCAGGGCTTATGTATATCTCCCCACAAACATTTAGTAGCGAGCCCTTTGATCCAAATAAGATATCTTCTAGATTCCTGGCTCCTCTGGGAGACTTGTGTCAGGAGACGTAAGTTATACGTAAATTACTGTACAGCCCTAGGTGAGCACAGGGACAGAACTCTGCAGGAGATGCTGACCCACAGCACATGGCTAGCTGTGCAGTGTATCTGTTGGTGAGTCTGGATGTGTATGCTCCCCTGAGAAGCAGCACTGTGATACAGATTCCGAAAACTTAACCTAGAAGTCAAGGTGGGCTTCCTGGCAAGGTGGCACATGAGTAGCATGTGAAACGAAAAAGAGTTGGACATAGCGCCTCTGGCATCCCAACTCTCAGGAAGCTGAGGACAAAAGGTCACAAGTTCAAGGCCAGTCTGGGACCCTGTCTCAAAGAAAAGTAGAATCTCTGAAAGCAGATGGATGAGGAAAAGGAGGACATCAAACTCACAGACAGCAGAGCAGTAGCTAGGCCTGTTCGGGAGCCGAGGAAGACTGGAAGCAGAGGAGGGAAAGAGCGTAGACTGAACTCCAGGGCTAAATCGAACGCAGGCAGCCTTTCAAACACATTAACATACCTACTGCAGAACTGTACACTGGTGGACACCTGGGAAGCTGAGGCAGGAGGATGTAAGATCCTTAGCTAACCTGGGCCACAGAGAAAGACACTGGAAAGATGGAAGGACAGAAGGAGAAAAGAAGAAATGCTTGGTTGCCACTAGGAGCCACTGGGGCACTCAGTGACAGACGGACTCTTCAACTCAGAAGCTCATCCTGATGGCGTGGCTGGCTGGTAAAGGCCAAGGAGTAAAATGGATCTTCTGCAGAAATACAAGAAAAGAAAGGAAGGTAGGTAAAATTAGAGCTTATAACAAAGGAGGGAAACAGAGTCCAAGGATAGTCAGAAAACAACAGGAGCTTGGTGCAGTCGTGCCGTGCCATTTGGGAAATGGAAAAAGGAGGTGTGCAGCCCAAGTCTTGGAATTTGAAGCCAACCTGGGCAACACAATGAGACCAGGCATAATGGGGGAGGGGGAGTAGGCTGAGGAGATGGTTCAGTGGGTATAGTGCCTGCCACACAGCTTGAGGACCTTATTTCAACCCCAAACACTCATGTAAAAAGCTAGGCCATAACCCCAGTGCTGGAGGGTTGTGTGGTACAAACAGCAGGATCCCCAGAGCTCACTGGCCAGCTGGTCTGGCCAAATCAGTGGGCTCCAGGTTCATTGACATCATGCCTCAAAAAAGAAGGTGGAGACTCAACCAGCCCTAGTTAAACCAGTATGTCACAAAGCAAAAGCAAAAACAAAAACAAGACAAGATAGTAGAATGGGGACCGGGCAGTGGTGGCGCACACCTTTAATCCCAGCACTTGGGAGGCAGAGGCACGCGGATTTCTGAGTTTGAGGCCAGCCTAGTCTACAGAGTGAGTTCCAGGACAGCCAGGGCTATACAGAGAAACCCTGTCTCAGAAAAAAACAAAACAAAACAAAACAAAACAAAACAGATAGTGGAATGGGAATTTGAGGGGTGGATGGAGGGCTGTGTATGACCACAGTGTATACAAACTGTTAAAAAAAAAAAAAGAGAGAGAGAATGATTAAGACACCTTCATGGGTGCCCGCATGCACATACACACAAAAGTCACTCTTTAAGACAAAACCAACACTACTTTTTGGCTGTAAACACATCACTACAAGATAAGAGACGGAGATAGGATCCTCAGAAGCTCATGAGTCAGCTAGCTTGGTATACAAGCTACAAACAAGAGACCTACTATTTCTCTTTCCCTAATTCAGAGAAAAACGTCACTTTGTAATCCCACCCATGGCTGATCAAGGCGGGGAACCTGAAGTGACAGAAAGGGGGTGATTTATAATCACTCCCTCCCTGTATTGCTCACTGATTCTTCCGTCTTCCTGTAATAGTACCCCAATGTTCCTTTATGAGAAACCCCACTCTCATCTGTGTGGTTCAGGTAGCTGTGGTAGCGTCGGGAGGAAGCACGAGCCTGAACATGTCTCTACGTCTATGACGGGCTCAGCAATGGGTCTAACTTACACTGAGACAGCAGCTCAGGAGCTGAACCAAGCCCAAACTGAGCCCGTGCAAGTATGGGGCAAACCTACAATAAACCAGTAGCTAGGTGAGTCTCTGAGCCTGAGTGTCTAGATATAGGCCTTTCGTACAGCTACTAATAGAAACTCACAAGGAACAGCCTGTCTGAGAAAGGATCCAACAGGAAAAGGTTGCCAATGGACCTAGAGAGATGGGATCCTGTCAGAATCATCATGGGGCAGCTATACTCGACTGAAGCTTATAGCAGAGAATCCCTCCCTGTCAGTATGGGATTCGGTTCCCAGTTTAGAAAACATATTACTGCTGCCAGAGGAGTTTTAGAAAGGGGCTTCCTGAGCTGGGGAGACAGGTAACTGGGTAAAGCATTTGCTAAGCAAGTGTGACAAGCTGAGTTCAGAGTCCCAGCACTAAGGTAAAGTCAGATGTGGTAGCACATGTCTGTAATTCCAGTGCCCTCTCAGCAAGATAAGAGGCAGAGACAGAATCCTCAGCTTGTGAGCCAGCTAGCTTGGTATACAAGCTACAAACAGACCTTGTCTTACAAGATCTGACCTCCATATGAACATACACCTGCACACACATGAACACGAACCCATATAGAGAAGAGAAAAGGCAAGGCAGAGTGGGAGACAGGAGAGGGAGGGGAGAGAGGTTTTTGAGACAGGATCTTACTATGTAGCCCCAGCTGGCCTGGAACTCATTATGTATGCTGAGTATGAACTTACGATCCTTTTGCTTCAACTTCCTAAGAGCTAGGACTTTAGACGTGCCACATAGTGCTCAGCAGAAAAAACAAAAACAAACAAACAAACAAACAAAAACCTTCTCAAATCATTATTATGTTGCCTAATGAAATTTAAAACTTGATCTTTAGGAAAGAAACTGATGGATGCTGTGTATGTAGGTTACAGGGGAGGTGTTTGTCTTTGGGGTTTATTAGACACCATGACCAAGGCAACTCTTAGGACAACATGTCATTGCATGCCTGTAATCTCAGCTCCCAGGAGACAGAAGCAGGAGGACCACAAGTTCAAGGTCATCCTTGAGAAGGCCAGTTGAAGGCCAGCTTGGGGCACATGAACCCTGAGATGATAGTGAGAAAAAAAATGAGGAGGGGGAAGAGAAGGGAAGAGAGAAGGGGAAAAAAGAAAAAGAGGAGGGGAAAAGGGAGGGAGGAAGAGGAGCAAGAACAGCCAGAGGCAGTAGCTACTACACCCCTTGACAATCTCTAACAACCACGAAGCAGTGGTGGAAGCAACTAGACCCAAATGCAGTGTGTCTTTTTGAAGTCAAGTTCAAGAACTGCAAAGTTGCACATAGATTGGCAGGACATCAGTTTGGACCACAGTCTTTTAAAAACACCATTGTAATAGGTGTTAATACCAGGTTACAGTACACATAGCTTTGTGTCTGCTATCTTAAAAATGAAGACTACAGTAGAGTGGTAGCCCTACAATCCCACAATGCCTACGATCCCAGCTTCTATGGCATGTGAGGCAGAGGATTCTTAAATGTGAGTCCAGGCTAGACAACTTAGGAAGACCAAGACCCTATCTCAAAAATAAAGTAGACAGCCTGGTCTACAGAGTGAGTTCCAGGACAGCCAGGGCTATACAGAGAAACCCTGTCTCGAAAAACCAAAATAAATAAATAATAAAGTAGAAACAAAGAACCAGGTAGGTAGCTCAGCCAGGGGAACACTCAGCTAGTGCACATGGGTTTAATTCCTGATACTATCAAAAACTAAGAGGATATGATGTCCATTTATATTAGTCATGTGTAGGTAACTTTCTTCTCAATGCCTTGGTGCCATCTTATGCCTCTGTGGACCAATCTCTCCCATTCTGGGTCACACAAATATGTTTGGCAGGGCAGGGAGATGGCTCAATCAGTAAAGGGTTCTCATACCAACATGAGAATCTGAGTTCAAATCCAAAACACCCATGTAAAAAGCTGCACATTGGTGGTCTATAACCCCAGCGCTGGGGATGGAGAGACAGAGATAGGTAAGATCCCTAAAGCTCATTGGCCAACCAACCTAGCCCAACTAAGGAGTTTCAAGTCCAGTGAGCCTTAAAAAAGTGAATAAATACAAAAAAATAAGATGGAAAACAACTGAAAAAAGATACCTCTCATAGACTTCTGGTACTCCACTTAGTACCGCCATGCTAACAAGTACATATACCACACAAAATTCAAAAAGCAAATTTTAAAAAGCACCTTTTTCCTATAACTTGGTTTTCTCTGTTTTACACGTTTCTGTGTATGTGCAGGTGTGTGTAGGTGTTCCTGTGCATGCAGGGCTAGAAGGGGGCATCAGGCATCTCCACCTATCACTTTCTACACTGAACCTGGGGCTCGAATTCTGCTCCACTGGCTGGGCAAGCCTCTGGGCCCTCCTGCCCCTGAAGCCCAGCACTGTAAATCATAGCTGCGCACCATCACACCAGCTTTGTACACGGGTGCTGAGGACACACACCACTTAGGTCCTCACACTTTGAAATAAGAACTTTGGTGGCTGAGCCATCTCTTCAGTCCCTAGGATTGGTTTTGTTGGGAGGGGTTCCCCAAAATTAAGTCTACAAAATTGTCTGAAAACACACTCAAGACACACACCTCTAATTTCAAATTTCTAGAAAAGAAATAAAGTGATGTCTGAGTGAACAAAGCTAGCCAAGCTGGTCATCAATACTCGGATACACATGAGCCAATCCCCTTCTCCAGCCCAAGTTTACGTCTCCATCAAAACAAGAGGTGAGTGGGAGTCAAGTGATGGTGAACACCTGTAATCCCAGCACTTGGGAGGCAGAGGCAGGAGAATCCCCTAGAGTTCAAGGCCAACCTGGTCTACAGAGCAAGTTCCAGGATAGCCAAGGCTATACAGAGAAACCCTGTCACAAACAGAGAGGGAGGGAGGGAGGAAGAGAGAGAGAGAGAGAGAGAGAGAGAGAGAGAGAGTGTTGAAAGGGAGAGGTAAGGAAGAGAAAGGAGCCAAATATTCACGTCTAACCTGTGTGATCATGGACACATGGTGTGTATTTACAGAAGTGATGACACTGTGGCCAAATACAAATAAGAGTCACTAAGACTAGCTTCTGTCTTTATGCTGCTTAAGTACAAAGATATACAAGGACATGTCCTTGTCCTCAAAGGGCCACTCACCATTCTCTAACATGAAGAACTACCAGCACAAGACAACTGGGAACCCATGATGATGTTAAATCAGAACTATATGCACTAACGCAGAAAAGCAGTCTTGATAGCTGTTGTCTCCCTCCCTGCAACAAGAGATAGACAGTGCCAGACTGTGGCTACAACAGGCACTGAGTTTGAACTTGTACCTGACACGATTCTCTATAATGAATTTTTGGTAAAAGAAATATGATTTACAGTAATATATTGTGAACTGAAGTTTCCGGAAGGAAGGAAGGAAGGAAGGAAGGAAGGAAGGAAGGAAGGAAGGAAGGAAGGACCAGCTGCACCTATGTTAAAGATTCTACAAGACCACAATCTTGTAGATGTGACTGAACTTCAAGATTGTGGAGAGTTAAAATGTTGCAAATCAGAGGCAAATTATCTTGTGCTATTTTTAGTCTCTTTGAAAGCCATTCATTGCCCATAACAGGGTTTTACCTAACATCCTTGTATGTATCTGTCTTAGTCAGGGTTTGTATTCCTGCACAAAACATCATGACCAAAAAGCAAGGTTTTATTCTCTTACACTTCCACATTGCTG